TTTTGATCCAGCGATTCCCCTGCTTGGATTATACCCTAAGAACACTAAAATGCCAATTCCAAAGAACCTATGCACCCCAATGTTCATAGCAGCACAATTTACAATAGCCAAGTCTTGGAAGCAACCTAAATGCCCATTAGTAGATGATTGGATCAAAAAATTATGGTACATATACACAATGGAATACTACGCAGCAGAAAGAAAAAAAGAAGTACTGAACTTTGCGACAGCATGAATGGAACTGGAGAGCATTATGCTAAGCGAAATAAGCCAGGGGGCGAAAGACAAATACCATATGATCTCACCTATAAGTGTAACCTAACCAACAGTACAATGATGCAAGGAAAATAAGACCAGCAACACTGAAAGGAAAAGAAATCAACAGAGACAAGAGGGAAGAAGGGAGGCGGGGCAGGGACAAGGAAGGGAAGGGGAAAGTCAAGGAACATATAGCAGGGACTCATGGACAAAACCAAAGGGGAAGAGCTGAGGGAGGGAAGGAGGAAGGGGTCAAGGAAAAGTGGTGGGGGGGAGGCAGAGACAAATGTATTTGAAAAAATAAATTAAATAAAATTTAAAGAAATTTATAAAGGACTTTAATCAACACCAAAAAATCCCAAATAGTCCAATTAAAAAATGGGCAAACGGCCTGAAAAGTCACTTCCTTATAGAGGACATACAGATGGCCAATAGACATATGAAAAGATGCTCAACATCACTAATCATCAGAGAGATGCAAATTAAAGCCACAAGGAGATATCACTTCACACCAGTCAGAATGTCTATAATCAATTAATCAACAAACAAGTGTAGGTGAAGATGTGGAGAAAGAGGAATCCTTGTGGCACTGCTGGTGGGAATAGAGAGTGGTGCAGACACTGTGGAAAGCAATATGGAAATATCTCAAATAATCAAAAATGGAACTGCCTCGTGACCCAGAGATTCCACTTCTTGAAATTTATCTCAAGAGACCCAAAATACCAATTCAAAAGAATATAAGCACCCCTATGTTCACTGCAGCATTATTTACAATAGTCAAGATTTGAAAGCAGCCTAAGTACCCATCAGTAGATGAGTGGATGGAACAAATATGGTAATACACAATAGAATACACTCAGTTGTAAAAAAGAAGAAAAATTTTCCGTTTGCAACAGCACGAATGGACCTAAGCAAAATAAGTAAGTCAGGGAAGGACAAATACCATGTGATTTCACTCACATGGAATCTAATGAACAAACTAAACTAATAGGCAAAATAGAGACAGATTCATAGATAGATAGCAGGCTGACAGCTCGGGGTGGGGGAGGGGCAGTGGGAAGTGGGTAGGGAAGAGCTGGGAAGGTGGAGGGATTGAGCAAAATCGATAAAGGACTCAAGGGCACAGACAACAGTATGGTGATCGTGGGGGAGGGAGGAGGTGGAAGAGGATATAAGGGGGATAAATGATAATGAAAAAATACAATAAAAATAAAAGTTAAAAAATAAATGAAAAAAAGCAATTATAAATAAGTTGATTAGGGTGGCATCTGAAGTTACATTTGATCAAGGGCTTGAAGTAGGTGAGGGAGCAAGCCTTGCAGGTGTCTGGAAGAACAGAACTCCAGGCAGAGGGAATGCTGTTATGAAGGCAGCAAAGATCAGCAAAGCAGGTTTTGCCAGTGACGGGGAGGAGGGAAAGAGATGTTGTCAGAGAGGTAAGGAGGATCACATCATCTCGGGCCTTGTAGACAATTATAAGGACTATGGATTTGGGAATATTAATCTATCAGTACTGGGCAGAGTGAATTGACGGAAGGAAAGAATTAGAAGTGGAAACAGCAATTAAAAATCTATTTTCCAGGTGAAAAGATCTGAAAAATTCATTCATTTGATCACTCATTCATTTACATTAATTCAGAATGTATTTAGGAGACACTCTACTAGATACTGACATTAGAACTCTGAGGCTGAGATGGACAAACTTCGCCCCTATGAAGCTGACCCTCTGGTAAGAATGATGATAGCATAAAAAGAAACATCCACTTGTTGATAAGCTGCTAAAAATTTATAGAAATCTAGATTTTATCCTGAACCCCCAAAATCTCTAATATTGTACACGGGAAAGTACCAAAATTTTTATTATATAAACAATCCTTAGCCTAGTTCCTAAGTAATTTCCTTATAATATCCTTCAAAGAAATATTGGCCAATATTCTTTACCTCTTCAGGTTACTTTTGAAAAGAAATATTGGATATTTTACATCAAAATAAATTATCCAAAACATCCAAGCCATAAACTAAACATCTGAGGCTTATCATTCCACCAGTCAGGATAAGTCCAGAATATAGACTATAAGTATATTTAATTCAAATACAAGCATTTATGAATAGATTAATTTAGAAAGCAAAAAAGAAGCAAAGACCAGTCCAAAATTACCAAGCTTGTCTGTAACCCATACAATAGCACTTTCTAAACAAACTGCTGATGCATGAAGATATTATCACTGGTGGCTGGATGACTGGCTTTAGTACCCCCATAATGATAAACTCACTGTCCCAGAGGACAGATAGGAGCTAGTCTCTGCAGTCAAACTGTCATGGAATTATTAAATATGGAGAAGAAAATGACCCAAACAGTATGTAATGAGCTCCCTTTTCATTCTCTCTCTACAAAACCACATCTGTGGATTGTTAATTATTCTAAAATGGACGATCCAAATTGATGAGAAAGATAAACATCTCTCAGGGATAGGAAAAGGGAAAATGAACATACACAATGTGTACACAAATATAATTTAAAATATAAGGGCTTTTGAAAGCACAGAGAAATACTATAAAGTAACATGTAAATGTAAGCTATTATTACTCATTTTTGTATTGCTTTCCTTGCTTTTCTTTATGTTTAATCTAAAGCATTAAATCTTTATAAATATAGAAAAATACCAAGACATATTCACCAAGAGTCCCTAAGTGTGACTTTAGAAGGTGGCACTGCCATTCCAATCTGGTAATTTCTATCATGTTGGATGCTCCCCACCAGCCCCCAAAATACCCACTGCAGGCTGTGTGCAGTGACTTAACTGTCTGTCAGGCTCTCAGTATCTCAGCTCATTTGGATTCTGTATCAAGTCCTGTTGACTTTTCATGTCTAGATTTGTCTTACAAAGACTCACTTACCCTGGAATGCCCAGGAAAGCCACACAGTAGCTTAAAGACATGACTCAAACACAGAATTCCTCAAGCACATCTATTGGTATTATTGATCTTTGTACCTCAGTGTCTGGTATTGTATAATTCTTCAATAACCCTGAACCAAGCTGAATGAGTTAGTTATTTAGAGAGATGTCAAACAAGAACAAGCACTTTAAACAAAATTATCATAGTGTCAATCCATACACTACAGCCAACAATTTTTTTGGACATATTTAGTGATTCTGAGGTTATCTGTCTTCAGAAATCTCAGAGCTGAAGAATTTTTGATATGGGTTTTAATATTGAGTTTCAATATATAAAATAGTAGTGAATTAATAGGAAACCAGGTCTTATTGCCTGGTTTAAGGACAGATACAAGTCTGAAAGCAATCAATAATCTGCTGGCTCTCAGGGTGGTATTGGTTAGCTCTATCACAAAGGTAGTATGGTGTTAAGAAGTAAGAATGACTAATATTTATAAACCTTGAGGCACATAATCTTAGAAATGAAATGACCTTTACCACTCAGGATCTCTGAGTCACAGGGAGAACTGTTCTAAACACCACTGCACACCAAGAACTTTATTTAACATAAATATATATATTCCAAGTAGTAGAGAGGGGGGATATTTGGCACATGATTTGGCTCTTCTATGCAGGTAAAAACATTAACAAAGACAGAAAAATGAGAAGTCATTAAAGGGAAAATTAAACAGCATATAGTTTATATATTTTCACTAGCAACTCCCTGTGAGAAATACAGAATGCAGTATAACATTTATAAAGAAAAACACCATTTTAGTATGTTACTATTTACTCAAAATCCTCAGATTTAAGCATATTTAAAGTAGTCTTTAAAATATAAGACATTCTCTCTCTGTTCACACATATCCATGGGAAATTCATTCTTATACAACCTGTCTATACAGAGCCCAAGAGTATCCTACAGTTAGATCGAGTTATAATTTTGAAGTCGTGCTTTCTCTACTGCTAAGACAAAAACTAAAGCCAGCTTCACTTTTACATAAAATGTATTCCCAGATGCAGGCTGTATCATAAGAAGCAGGTACATGGAATAAAAAATTAATTGGTGTCTCAATTTCCGGATCAATGCACACCTTAACTGTGCAATGAAACCCTGCACAGTTACCTCTAGCCCCTGGCTGCAATTATGTGATTTAAAAAAATAATACTGTGTGCCCAAAACCAGTTTCCTTCTTAGTGTTCTTATTCTACCCTACTCTACCCAGTTGGCTAAATGACTAAACAGCAATGTCAATCAAATGCAATACTTCTCTCTATTCAAATATAATGGAAATTTTGACCATTCCACATTCAGAGAGCAAATACATTCTCACACTGACAACCACATTCCATTGGCTTTTCCCGAAAGCAAAGTGTGACAGATGCCTTGGCTGTAATTGCCAATCAGCCTTTACATGGCAGCTGAAAACACAATACATCACTTTGATCTCCTTTGCTCTAAACACATCCACAATCAAGAAACCTGAACAAGGAATAAGAAATTGGCATCATTTCCAGAAGCTGTCACTCCATGACACTTAAATATTCTGGTTTTTGCTCATATTTTTATTTTTCTGTTTTAGAGACACTCTGTCGAAGATCTGAACAAAAAAACACCTACAGTTAAATGGCATACATATAGATATTTAGAAAACACATTTATTATACCAGGTACAAAATCTTAATATAAGCACATTTAATTAAATAACACCACTGCCATCTTCTTATCTAGTCACGCACCTGAGACATAATACAAGGTAAGACTGCTCATCAGATATTGAAATTGTTCAGAAGGGTTGCACTCACATTTAGCAGGCAGGTCGTAGCCACATGTGATTTTTGCATGTCCAGTTTCACAGCCATTCAGGTTACGACACTCAGCAAGCAAACAGGGGCCAGCTGCTCTGTGAATACAGCCATCCACTGGGGGAGAGAGGAAAAAGTTACTTCATTTTTGGGCCTTTTGGAAATAAATACAAAACTTGAAACAGGAAGAGAAAAGAAACTTGGTTTGTTCCTACTGGGAATCACTGTAGCCCATGGAAGAAAACCCATGGTGCCTAATCCCTCAAATGCTATTGTCCTCCCCTCCTCTGGCGTGTGTGTGCATGCGTGTGTGTGTGTGTGTGTGTGTGTGTGGTTTTCGAAGTAGTGTGAAACCCAGTTCCTTTTGGGGTGGGGGAGTCCCTTATTTGCAGCATTTTGCAATTTCAATTGTGCAATTGTTCCCATGATGTTCTTTTAAGCTATCAACTTCATGTCACTGAACACAAAATTGGGAAGGAATGCTAACAATTCTATATCCGAGTTGGTAAATGTGTCTCCAAAACACCACAGGTTGCAGACTAAAACGGTGCTGAAGACGGTGAGACAGGCACTCTAGAACATTTGTACACACCTCCAAACTGAGACAGTAAAAATAAAGCTTATCAAAGTAACAGCCAGACCTCCGAGTTCCTCCTTCTTCTCCCAGCAGTATGACACAAACACAACCCTGTTTCTGCCGTGTATCTGGCAGGGGACTAGGTGATGGGCAAGGCTAGCTTAGGTCTCATAAACACCCCTAAAACCACCCTCACTCATTTCGCAGGGACTAAAACAGAACTGTAGCTGCTATTGCTCTGCTCTGCTGAACAAGTAGGCTTTCTGCCTTTAGGCAGCATCAGATCTCATTGGCCCTCTGGCCTCCCATCCAGGTCCCCGTCACAGGTCTCCTTCATAGTGAGAATCATCGTTTCAAAACAGAAACCAGATGCCATTGGAAGTGAAAACTTTATATGGCTGGATTGGGGGCAAATGCACAAGTGAAGGGCTACAAGGCCATATGCACATAAATTAGGACATGATTTCTAAGTGAAATGTTATTTAAAAGAGTATATATAGTTTAGTCCCAATTTTGTTTACAAAGTTATGTACACGCGTGCATATATATATGCACCTAAACAAAACAGAATTATCTTCTGGAGGGAGGGCCCCTTGTAGCACAGGCTTCCCCCACTAAGTAAGTGTTCTAGGAACCCATCTGTATCAGTGTACCAGCTGGGTTGTTGTGAGAGGCTATGTTTGATTTCAGTGAGTTTTTTTTGAAGACTCTGTCAACACGTTTGCCCCTTTTTCATGGTGGGTGATTTATGAGCACACCCCGCCCATACCGCATTGAGTGTTCAGCAGTTTTTGACCAAAAACGGAATGACCCCCATGCCTCAATGCCCAACTTCCCTATTTATCCAGTCTCACCCTGAGTGACTTTTTTTTTTTGTTTCTTTGGATGAAAAGAACCCCCAAAGAGAAAAGTTTTGCCAATGTAGAAGAAGTGAAACAAAAAAATGGCAGAAGCACTAAAAGGCATCAAAATCAATGAACTCAAAAGCTGTTTTGAGCAGTGGAAAACTGTCTCAATAGGTGTGTCGCATTAAGCAAAGAGTACTTTGAGGTGCCTGAAATTTAAACATATAAAAATAAATACACAATTTTTTAATAAAAAAAATCCAGGTTTTTTGGGTCCCCCTTGTATATACATGTACACACACACACACACACACACACACACACACATATATAGAGAGAGAGAGGTATTAGAAAGATACATGTCAAATTGAAAAAAGTGATTATGGGATAGAAAACAGAAGGTGAGACTATTAGGAAAAAAAATAGGCCCTGATTTCTCTAAGTTAAATTATGTTTTTACAAGAATTTTAAGTATTTTAAAGTGAACACATTTTCTTGGCAAAGAGGTAATGAATTACTCAGTTTGAAATGGGTACCTAAAATAGGATTCCCTAGTGTACTTAATCATATGCTATCAAATATTGTCTACATTACTTAGATTGCAGCCTAATGCAGTTTGTAGATGTCTATTTCTCAAAATCTTCATGGTTATTCCAGCATTCCCTACTGCTGAAGGTCTAGCTGAAGAGATATTGAGTAATAATGACTATAGCTTTAAATGTATTGAGTGCATATATGTGCCAACCACTACAATGATGACTTCCTTATAAGGTAAATACTGACTTCATTATCTCCATTTTATAGGATCTTAGAAGACGTTAGTAACTTGCCTACATCCAGAGAATATTGGCAACGTGATTCAAAACTTCAAGTTTGTCTGATGTAGCAACCATGCTCTCTTCTATTATAATTTGCTGCCTTCAGGAAATGAATCCAGGCAGTTTTACCTCAATCCCCCATATGTGATACATTGAACCAATATATTACATTAATTTTTAATTCCTATCAGTTCTATTCATGAATTATAATATACGTACAATCTTATACACAGATTTTGCAGCTTTGATGAGTTTTAACAAAGTATATCCCCAAGTAGCCATGATGTTAATAAAGATACAAAATGTTTCCATCAACTCAGAAAGCTCTCTTGTACTTTCCATCCAATTTCCCTTCTTAGCACCCACAGGGACCCTGTATTCTGATTTCAATCACCAGAGGTAAGTTTGCTTGTTATATAACTTCAAACTTCATGTAAGATATAGGGAAGGAGCTCACTTCTTTCACTCAGCAATTTTTTTGATATTCATCTATGTTGTTGCATGTATTAGTACCTCATTCTATTTCATTCCTGAGTAATATTCCATTGGTGAATATATCATAATTTCATTATCCATTCATCTGTGAATGGACATTGGAATATTTATAATTTCAACTATTATTAATATGTCTTCACATTTGTATGAGTTCTTTTGTGGTTATATGTTTTTCTTATGTACATCAAACAAATATCTATGGGTAAAATTGCTGAGTCTCCATATTTTTTACTTTATAAAAACTAACATATGGTTTTCCCAAGTAACTATAACAATTTACATATACCCCCAACAATGTATAAGAATTCAAATTTTGGCAATCCTTTGGTCTTGTCAGCCTTTTAATTTTAGCAATTATAGTGGATTTAAAGGGGTATCTCATGATTTCTATTTGTATTTCCCTCAGGATTAATAATGTTAAGTATCTTGCCCCATGCCTACTGGCAATTCATATATATTCTTTTTGGAAGTGTCTGTCCATGTCTTTTGCTGCCTTTCATTATCTTTTTATTACTGAATTGTGTTAAATCTGCTATAAGTTCTATCCAATTTTTTAAATTTCAGATATTTTATTTTTTCAATACTTGAAAGTTTCATTTGGTTCTTTTTCTCATAGTTTTCATATTACTTCTCAAATTTCCCATCATTTCCCATCTCCTCATCCCCATGTCCATTTTTTCATGTAAATGCCTGAATAGATTTCATGCAGTGATTTTAAAGTCCTTGCCTGCCAATTACAATATCTAAGTCACCTATGAATCTGTTTATATTGACTGATTTTTCACATGACTCCGAGTCACATTTTCTTGTTTCTTTGCATGTCTAGTAATTACTGACAGCATATGAACACTGTGAATATGTTTTAAAGGCTTTAGACACAATTATCTTCAAACAGTATCGAAGTTTCTTCCAGAAGGCAGTTAAATTACTGCCAGGTAAAATGGAAGCTTAGTTTTAGGATTTGTTAAGGTGGGTCTATTTTAGTTTTTTACCTTAGTTCTAGGAAGTGGTCTTTACTCCTAAAGCATGGCTGTTCTGTGTTTTCAATGGACAGCCCAACATGTTTGCCAACTCCCTTTAACTTGGGGGGAATACAAGTTAAACTTGGGGGGTTATGTGTTATATCCCTACTGTTAGAACCTGTGCTGCTATTTTTTTAGCCTTCTAGCTTTTCTTTTCTTTCTGGGCTCCTTGGAGTCTTTCCTTGCACAAAAACAGTCCAAAGCTCAGCTGAGAACAAAAGAGGTACAGTACATCCTCGCTTAATATCATTGATAAACTTTTGGAAACTGTGGCTGTTAAGTAAAAGGATGTATAGTAAAACCAATTTTACCAGAGGACAATTGATATAAACAACAGTTAAGTTTTGACAGCATATTTCTGATCACAAAAACATCACCAAAGCTTTAAATAAAGACACAAACACTTCTAATATTAAACACTGAAATAAATGTGAGCCATATATATACATTTAAGACAAATTAATAAAAACAAGTACAATAGTTCTTCCAACCAACTTATTCCACTTCAAGGTGGCAGGTGGCGAGAAACTCTTATAGCAGCTCAGGGCACAAGGCAGGAACCCACCCTGGACAGGACACCCCTCCGTCACAGGGTGTACTCACTCACACACACACACACACACACACACACACACACACACACAGCCCCTCAGACTGGGGCACATAGACGCACCAGTTCACCTAATGTGTCCATCTTTAGGATGTGGGAGGAAACAGTCCCCTAAGAAGTCGCGCAGGCATGGGGAAGACATGTAAATTCCACATAGATAGTGACAGAGGCCAGCAATTGAGTCTTTTTTGTTTTTCAGCACATTACAACAAAATCATGTGGAATGAAATGACATTATTTGAGGACTGGCTATATTCATTTATAATATATATTTTGAGGCTTCCCCACTCTGTGAATCTCTCCTTTCTGAAATCCTCAGATGAATTCCTAATTGTCTTTGCCAACCCTAAGTGCAGTCCTAAGATTGCTAATGCCAATAAAACCATTGCTTTCTCTCTGAGCCCTGTCAGCCACTTGTCACATGGGATGGGGAGGGCTCTCAGGGGTCACAGCTATTTAAGTGTGGATCTTACCCAGCGTGGTTTCCTTCTTTCAAAGGCTGAATCCTCTTTCGTTTCAGCCTGCTTTTAGTTGCTCTCTAGTGCCCCAAACAGTTTCTATTGTTCTTTTATAGTTTGTCAAGAATATATAATTACCATTGGTAAATGTGAGTCTGATACAAGCTATTCTGTCATCATCAGAAGCTGGAAGCTTACATCCAATTAAAACATGGGCAAAGGACCTGAACAGACACTTCTCCAAGGAGGACATACAGAAGGCCCAGAGACACATGAAAGGATGCTCAGCATC